GATTTGATCCTTAGCCAACGAAAGTTGAAGTTAGGGCATCTCGTGAACATTTCAACCCTAATCGTTAATGCTCGATAATCCTTGTAACCTCAACGACAGTTAGGGTGTTAGATTGATTGTTAAAGTTGTAGATGCCACGAAAGTGGATCTCCCTATTTTTATGGTTGAGTTCGAGACTTGGTCGTAATCGTTTACCTGAATAGTTGCTTGGTTCTTGATGTTCGAATCCCGGAGATTTATCCCCGACCTAACGCCTTCCCATTATAGTTTACAACCGATTTTTACTTGTGTTTTATTTCGAATTTATTGTGACACTTAAACCCGAATTGAATCGCTTAGCTAAGATTGTGTCCCATAGGATTAGAGCGTATTGCTGGTCCCTTAACGAACCTCACTATTCTACATTCGGATTAGTGTTACCTAGGTTTTAATCTTGAAACCGGATAAAAGGACAATCATCAATTTTCAGGTGTGAAAGTTTCACCAGCAAGACCTCTTGTCTTGATAATCTGTATACAACTCCGTAAGAATGTCTGCGAATCATCATCAGTGCGGGTGAGCCAATCGCATTTGGATTGGACCGGAAAAGCTTTCCCATTAGCCGGAAGTCCGACTTGTGTTTGTTTGTGTTTATCGCATGGAATCAACAGTTTTGTAGTCATGCTGTCTTCTGCGGCGACAACTGAATTGATGTTTACTCTATGAGAATTTCGTATCACCAGAGACTGCAGACGTTGAGAAGACGGTGATGCACCATGGTAGTCAAGCATGCGTACTTGATACTGTTTTCATAGTTTGTCGGTAGTCAAAACGGTTGTGTTTGATTATGTGTTTGCAATTGTGTATTGCTTTCTTGTTCTAGTGGATTTGTTCTGGACCGGATCCCGGACGAAAACCGAACCTCGTGAAAAAATTCTATGTGTTCTTTATTTTATGCTCTACACTCACAAACATATAGATCTAGCCACGAAACTGCACTTTCACTTCTGTGAAGGTCGAAACCAACTCAATTGAATTTGTCAATGATTTTTAAGGGAAACGAGATCTCTCGGAAAGAATCACAAGAACAAAGACAAAAACACGAAATTGCGTTAAGAAAACTTTTATTGATTTTTGCTAAGTGTTTTTGCGTAGAGTTGCGGATCCCTTTCTCAAGGAGAATACAAGAGCATATATACAAGTCTAAAGTCGGTTAGGATTTTTTACTAAGTAAATCAGGAAGATTTCCTTATTTGTCGGGATTTCCATTTATCGCAGTCGGCGCTTGACATGGTCTCGTCGTGTTGGGCTTGACTTTGCCATCTCGTCGTCTTGGACTTATGGTCCTCGGCCCACGATTGCGTAACAGGCCAAGTGGGCTAAACTAAGCCATACTCGGCCCATTGCCTAACTCTTCAAGATAACATCGTCGACGAGTTGCCGAGCACTCCTCGTGGGGACGTCGGCCGTCTAGTAGTCGGCGAGACAATGGTCGGCAAGTCAACAGTCGGCGAGGCAGTAGTCGGCAATCGCCAAGTTCTCCGATATGGCGTGGCCGGCAGAGACAGTAGTCGGCAGGAAACAGCAGTAGTCGGCAGAATGTACCAGTGTTAAGCGAAATGAGTTATTCTGGCAAATTGTCCAGTTCTTCAGAGTGAACTAGGCACCTTTCTATTTATGCTCATTTCTATACTTAACCATTTTATGGAAGAAAACTGTCAGAGAAAGTTTTGACCCTAACAATTGCTGAATCAAACAATATTACGATACACAATTGTAAACTGTTTTAGTGCATATAATTTATTTCTACATTTGAAATGTAAGATACACAAACGTTTTGATATTTAAATATCACCTCCCACCGGAGAGTATAGAATCATAATCAACAATCGAAGTAGCACCGGTAAACATGCCTGACTCACCAAATCCGTGGTGGATTCCCAACATCATCCCTCTTCCATGCAAGTCCAACGGCGACAAATCTGGTAACATTGCATCTCCCCTTAGATATTGTATCACCTGTCTCATCGGTGGTCTAATATATGGCTCGGAGTGAGAGCACATCAAACCTAGCTTCAAAACCATTTCAACCTCTCTTCGGTCATACACAGAGCCTAGTTTCGGATCCTTTGCATCCAAGATGTTTCCCTCTATCCAAAACCTAAAAACCCAATCCACGATGAAAACTCTCTCACCACTTTCGTTCTGAATCTCGATAGGACGTCTACCGCATACCACTTCTAGTAGCAGCACCCCAAATGCAAAAACATCGGTAGCTGTTGTGGCATGTCCTGTCCTGACGTGGTCAGGGGCCAGGTATCCCCATGTTCCAGCAACGCGTGTGGTTTGAGGATCTGATCCGTGACCGCACAACCGAGCTAAACCGAAATCCCCAAGTCTCCCATTGTACTCCGTGTCTAGCAAGACGTTGCTGGATTTAACGTCGCGGTGAATGACTACTTGTTCCCATTCCTCGTGTAAGAAGAATAAGGCAGAGGCCACGCCATTGATGACTTTTATCCTCTGTTTCCAGCCGAGTGTTAACTCAGGACTATTGTACAAATACTTGTCTAAGCTTCCATTAGGCATGTAATCGTAGACCAGAAGAAGCTCGTTTTTCCGGCGGCAATAACCCAAGAGAGGGACTAAGTTCCGGTGACTCATCCGACCAATGCTGACGATCTCAGACACAAACTCTTTCAACCCTTGTTGGGATTCATTCGAGACTCTTTTCACAGCGATCTCCTGCCGCGTCTTTGGCATAACACCTTTGTAAACGCTACCAAACCCGCCTGATCCGAGAAGGCCCTCCTCCTTGAACCCTTGTGTTGCGTAGTACAAGTCCTTGAACTTCAATCGGTAGTTCTTCCCGAGATTTGTTTCCCAATCTTCGAGCTCCTCCGCAAACTTTCTCTTCCTCCACAAGATGAAGCGTACGAGGAAGATGAGTGAGGGAACGAACACGAGGAGAATCACAACTATGGAAATCGTAGGCATCCACTTCTTGAAGAAGATGTCGATCTTCCTGGGCTCCCACCTCGGAAGCTTCGGAAGTTTCGATAAGGACAATGGCGGAGCTTTCCCGTTTACCCCGAAACTCCACCCAAGAACGAAATGTTCCGATTGCAGAGAACCAGTCGCAGAAGAGAAGCCAACGAACATATCTTGCAAAAGAACCGAAGATAGATCTCTGGCAATAGAAACAAGTGGTTTTGTAGGTTTGCTCTTCCTGAACGGAGACATAGACACGTCGATTTGATGTGTAAGGCCATCGTAATCGACCCAAACTTGCATCCGTTTACGACTGATCAAACTCAGATTCTTGAACTGACCCGTCTCGTCCCAGTACCCAGCTTGGGAACTTTGCACCGACTTCAAACTATTGATATCGATTCCGACATGGTTATTGTTGATATCATTGAACTCGATATTCATAACCGTGTCAAATTCGACAGCGAATACATGATTCGTTTCATTACCGTCGTTTGTGATGTTGAAGAGACCCAGGTATTGGCTTGGGGTTCCGTAAGGAAGGCTTGCGTTAGGAGCGACGACAAAGGCCATGCCATGGCTACTAAGTATCGGGAACTCAGAGTGGATAGCGAAGACGAATGTTGTGGAGAAGGAAGAAACAGTGCCGTTTGGAGAATCTTTAAACCGGATCGGTTTGGTATAGAAGGCGTGACCGGTCTCCCGCTGGGTGATGTTGTTTAGCTTCAATAGACCGTTAGGTGTGACGGTTGCGATACCTTGGACGGATATGTCAGTCAGTGGAGGATGGAAGCCATTGTAAGTGAAGCTGAGAACTTGGGAAGAGGAATCTTGAAGGGATTGAGAGAGTATGATGAAGAAGATGAAGAGCTTGGAGAACATGGCAACTTTTTTGGCTTTGGTTTAGATATCTTAGTTTATGAGAAACTGAAGACAATTTATGGTGTATAGTGTGAAGAGAGTGTTGAATAGGTCAAAGAAGAATGTCACATTCATATTCATGGCAGAAACTCATAAAGACCTCCATTATGTAACCTGCAACACAAGCAAGTTCGTTCATTTATATCCTTCACTGACAGAAAGAGTAGAAAAATCTTAATGGGAAAAGTCGTCACGACGTGTTTAACCCGATTTATAATCTATGGTAGAAACTCATGCAAGTGTTTGTCAAGGATGATAGTAACATGAATTTAATTCGAGTTCACCAATCGAACTTTCAAGTAAAAAGGATACAGATCATCTGAAAATTTTGCTAGAGAAGCTTTTTAATTTGCAGGTGTTAGCAAAATACATATAAACCTGGAAAGTTTCACCAGCAAGGCCTTTTGTCTTGGTATCTGTAAACAACAATGTCTGCGAATCATCATCAGCGCGGATGAGCAAATCGCATTTGGATTGGATTGGACAGGAAAAGCGCCGACTTGTGTTTTATCTCATGGGATCAACAGTTTTGTAGTCATGTTGTCTTCTGCGGTGACACCTGAATTGAGGTTTACTATCTGAGAATTTTGTATCACCAGACATCTGCATTGTTGAATTCATATCTGCTCAC